AGTTTACGACATCGATGTATGTACAGTTCACAAGCGCCATAAATGAGAATGTGACATAAGTTTGCGTGAACCACCTACTTTTTGATGCATAGAAAGGAAATTAATTGGAATGAGTCACATTGGATACAAAAAATACGTCACTTACACTATTTTCGATCGATCAGATGCGAGAAAGTCGCGAAACGACTTTACAAGAAACATGGCATCATATTATTTCCGAATCAAGATGATGAGCGACAAACTCTGCGCAATAAATTACGACAACTATTGCGACTCCAGTGTGTTCATTCGCTGAAAACATATCCTCTGGAAGCGCAGCGATCGCATTCACCATCCTGTCTGTAACGCACAGGATACAAAATTTTGCTTGCGCAATCGAAGATGTCTACATATATCGTTTGCAGTACGAATTCACATGCCAACTTGAGGAGCCGCAATTATGTGAATGGAAACTATTCAAAGATCATTTAGCTAACTGAAAGGGTCGTCGGATATAGACTGTTTTATCGTAAAGCAACTGCATATGAGGGTCTTGGTGAGAAAAATTATTTATCGTCATCACAAAACCTTCAAGGACGATGACATTGCTTGTATATGTATATATTTTGACGCTATGTGGGTTGGCCACAATGTCAAATACAAGTCCGCATGTGGTTTGCTGGCCGTTTTGCATATATATTACAAAGAGATAAGATCGAACTCAACATCGTTTCGTTCATATGTATTTTTGAAAATGAGTTTGTCGTCGATTTAACTAGTGTGATAGAGATACGTTACTACGAGCGCTTTGTAACGCTCACTTCGGTATAGTGGTGATTCCGAAAACTATAATTTTACTTTATAATCATATTGAAACAGGAGGATAGACGATACATTACTGCAAAAATTTCACTATATAATGATCATTTGTGGAGGAAGCAACAAACGAAGGTCTGCTTAACGCGAATGGGGGCGTCAGAAAAGATTACATCACCAAAAGGTTGACCAAAGACCTTAATCTTTCAAAATAATTTATCGCTAGAACCGTAGCCAATTCGTGTAGAAAGGTGTTGTAGAAAACAAAGCAGCTAGCTATTGTAGATACATTAACAACAAAAGTACCTGTGACAACTATCTTAAGCATTATCGGTATGACTAAGGGAGCTGTAGGTAGTAAAATGATTGAAATGGCCTGCGTCCGGCGCTACTGACGATAAAATTAATCGAAATGGCATGCAGAGGATGACTACTGTGTATAAACGTATATATGTATTTTGTGCAACACAATCTTTTCATTTGAAATGTATATAACGCTATGAAGTGAAAAAAGGTGGATTTAAAGCCTCGGTTTGCCAGCTTGAAACTATTTAACCTCAAAAACCTCAATTAGAGCGGACATATTCTCATCAAACTAATGCTGAGCCGATAAGAACACTTTACCATCTTTTATTGCGGTTGTCATTGCTCCAGCAACAATAAAAGTATGCTACAGCAAAAAGAAGCAAACGCGTATTCTTGAACTCATATTGAAGTCTTGAATACATGATCTGTTGGAGGAGATTGTAAGCACTCAATAATACTGTTATATATGCTATGAAGGTGCTCAAATCGTAAATATTGCATATATGTTGCATTTATAGTTATAAAGACGAAATATTTGATCTCATTTGCGTACCAAATGATAAGACTAGGGCCCATATTTACGGCTGACCATGATCAAAACGTTACGTACGATGAAGGTCCTTCTGATAGGTGCGTCGGGAAGCCCATAACTGATTCGAAAACGCATTAATTTTTAGGTGGACGTGACGCCGCATTGTATATTGCCGGCAACGAATGCGTGATACAAAATCTGTTGCGATTTTAAAAATTGGAATGATGGGTATAAGTAATTTGAAACAAGGTATGCCGGTACCTGACTCTTCCATTGATTACGGTGAAAAGGTTATTTTATTGCGTACGTAATCATAAGTAGTGAAATTGTTCTGACGACGATTCTCTTAATGCAATCGTCGCAAAAGTGGGTGTTTGACGGATGAGTTGCGTAAAGATGCACATGATTGGGCTATCGTGAATGCGAGATAACAAGAAAACTTAATCATTATAAAAGAATTATTTATCAGAATATATATAATTTGCAAAAAAAGGTATCTCGATCTCCATTTTTATGCGGTACCATGTATTTTGACGACCATGCGCAAAATATTAATTCAAATTACAATTATCACTCATATATTTAGCACGTCGATCCTCGTACAATTATCTATAGCTCTATCTACGGAAAGATGTATTTCATGCAGCAGAGCAATTGCGTATTGGTCATGAACGAATCTAGGTGCTCGTGTCGCATTCGATCACGTGAGCGGTATACCATCAGGAGCTATAATTAAAGCTCAACATTCCAAAATACGCACCTTATCTTGAGATGTGGGGTATTCAATTTCACGAGCTGCACAAGCTTTTACATTGCATCGATATATACAACTGACGGTACCTCCGCTGCACGAGTCGGTTCTTCGGCGGCCGCACAACACAAGGTTTGGACCTGGACAAGTGATCGAAATCGGAAGTATCCACGTGAATCCGTACCATAACACAACCGTTGCCCCATCGACCGTGCTCAGAGTTAGTTACGAATTCTGATGGCAAATCCGGGATACGTTACTATCGTATTGGGTCATTATAACTTCTCAGTCTGATGAAGAGGCAACCTATATTTGGGGAAAAGGACAAATTACGAGTAGACCTACTCAACCTAAATGTTCTCTTTGGTGAGGCGGAATGTAATACAAAGGGTTACATAGAAGACATAGAGCTTATTTCGTTGTTTCATATACCTTAATATTGATTAAATAACATTCGAGGACTGGGAGGTTTCGAAAATGAAGAGAGCAATTCGGATCGGCTAGACAAGCCAATACGTTGCTCTAGATGGAAGCCTCCGCACCGTCGAAGCTATCATGCACTGAAGATTATTTGGATACGAATTATTTAGGCCTCAAAAAAAGACTATATTCTGTGTGGGTCTAAAAGATGGCAACAACTTGTAATTGCCAAGCTTCAATCAAGATAAGTTTGATGACACGCTGAAATTTTGCATACATCCCGTGTTCTCGTTTGTGTCAGTTTGCTTCGATACTGTACGTATATTTTGGATGCAAAAGCGCCATAACTTGTGCAAGCAAAGTGTAGCCCACGAATATTGTAAGGTACGTTAAGTTACAATTTTGTAGGTCCGTAGTACATTTCTATGATATCAACTAGGTAATTATGTGCGTCAAGTATTTTTCTTAGTTACCGGAAAGCAGACTTTCTTCGACCACGTATATCCAATTGCTCTGATCAGCGTATGTTATCGCACCGAATATATAATATCATTTCCATCTTTCTGTATCTTAAAATCGATAATGTCATAAATATGTCTAGCCATGAGTGGCTACACAATATATATGATGTATATAGGGGAAAATGCCCTATTTAATCACGAATATAAAATGTGCCCCAGATAATTGAAAAATAAAAAATAGGCCCCACGTCCTCGTCTACTTACGTTCCTGTGGCACACATAAAACCACACGTCCTCAATCATTTCCGTTTTTCCATATTACGGCCGCGACCAACCCCCGCTCTGTTTGGAAGCCGGGAAGAGGGTTCTGACGCGGGCGTGCTGCGCTTGCAGCCACCAGTTGCAGGCGAAGGCGCGAGACATAAGTACGTAAGCACGTCTCCATATCATCGGTCGCGGCCGTAAGCACAGTTTATCGGTGCTAATGTTGTTGATACAGATGCTATTGCTTTTGTTATTGTTGTTGAAGTTGCTTTATTAATGTTGCTGCTGATGTTGCTGCTGCTTGTGTTGTTGTAGGGTGCTGTGGTTGCTGTTGTGTTTCCCTATTGATGATGCTACTGCTGTTGCTGCTGCTGTTGTTGTAGGCGCTACAGTTGCTGTTGTTGTTGCTATTGATGATGATGCTACTACTGCTGTAAATGCTGCTGTTTTTGTTGTAGATGCTATGGTTGATATTGTTGTTGCTATTGTCGGTATTGCTGGTGTTGTTGCAGCTGCAAGATTCAGTCGTTGTATTCGATAAGGCGCGTGTACGAACGCCCGAATCACGCGCGTGCTAGTGCTCAATGAATGACAGTGTACGTGTGTGTGTAGCTCTAATAAGACGAGTATGGTGCTGCTCCTACCGAGCTGCTTTTCAGACTAGTGACACGGTTTAATATAACGATGAAATTTAAGCAACTTGCACTCTGAATTGCCAGCACCTACTGTGAGGGGTTGAGTAGGTCGCATCGTGCTCATACACTTGCGTTGAGAATCATTACAACCAGAAACTTAACTTGTATAGATGTGCTGCGCTTGAGTATTTTAAGACGTGGGGCATTTTTTTTATTTTTCAACTAATTGGAAGATTGTTTATTTACGGGATTAAAGGGGCATTTTTTTATTTCCCCTTCCACTAACGAAATACCAATCGTCACTTATTTTTGATTCCAATGTTCCGCAACGACTTACCCCGCAACAAAATCTAACTTATGGGAGCGTGTTGTCCGTCAGCCTTGTTTTGCTCGTTGGCTTTGGGCTTCACGGGATGGAGAGGAACAGATGCTTTACTTAGGATACATACTGATGAATGGATAAATATGATAGGGGAAGCAGTTGTGCTGATAAAGCCTTCTGTGCGCATCAGCTTTGGGTACCTTTCTCAAGAGATTGAAGCAGCATATGATCGATCGTACCCAATTTTATCGGCACACCGTCATAGCGACACCGTAAACATTTTTATATCTTTCTGTCGATCCGTCGTTCAACACACGGTCATGGCGACAACGTAAACATTTTTATATCTTTCTGTCGATCCGTCGTTCGGCACACGGTCATAGCGACACCGTAAACATTTTTATATCTTTCTGTCGATCCGTCGTTCAGTGTACCACTCTTCAATAGCTCTGTTGAAAACCAGCGCTGGAGCCGCACAACGGCTTTTGCAAGCGAGACACCAACGACCACAAACATGAAAGAGAAACGCTTCGACGTGATCGTGTACGGCGCCACGGGCTTCGCAGGAGTGCTCGTGGCCCGGTACTTGGCCAGCGAGTCCGAGTCGTCGCTCGGCAGCCCCACAGCCGTCAAGTGGGCGATTGCCGCCCGAAATGCGACGAAGTTGACGCAAGTGAAGGAGAAGCTCAAGCCAAAGCTGCCAGAGGTGGACCCCTCGTTGATCGACGCTATTCCAGTGGTCGTCGCAGACAGCAGCAATGAAGAGTCGCTCGTCCAGATGGTGCAGCAGACGAAGGTCGTCGTGTCGCTCGTTGGTCCGTACAAACTCCACGGTGAGCTGTTGATCAAAGCGTGTGCCGAGAACGGCGTGCACTACTGTGATATATCAGGCGAGACCGTCTGGATCAACGAGATGATGGCGTCTTACGGCTCCGCGGCCGCCAAATCTGGCGCTGTATTGGTCAATTTCTGTGGCTTCGGAAGCGTTCCGTCGGACCTCACGACGTTCTTATTATGCGACTACATCCAGCAAAAACACCATTCTACCACGAGCTCGATCGACTTCTACCTTACCGGTTTCAAGGCCGAACCAAGCGGCGGCACTATAGCAACGGTGATTTCAACCATAGAGACGTCGACGACGAAGCAGCTACGAGCTTCGTGCAACCCTTTTTCCTCACGGACGAGAAAACAATTGCTGAAAAGAAGGCCGCAGGGCTGATTGAGCCCAATACGACAGGCATCCTCGTGCGGTATGACAAGACCATGCGCACCTGGCATTCGCTGTTTACCGCTAGCGTCGTGGATCAGGCTGTCGTGCACCGAAGCAACTACCTTCTGCAGAACAAGTACGGCCGTAACTTTGTCTATCACGGGCGAAGGGCCATTGGCGGTTTGCTCATGCAAGCGCTTGCAACCGTTGGGACACTCCTCGGGCTAACCATGCTGTATTTTAGCTGGACCCGTGCACTGATCAAGCGTCTAGTGCAGGCTCCTGGTCAGGGGCCATCGGAGGAGACCATGTTTCAAGGCTACTTCGTCGCGGACGCCGTCGGGTACTCGGAGGATGGAAAGTCAGCGGCGCGGGCAAAAGTTGTTGGATCCGGAGGAGACCCGGGCTACCGTCTCACGTCGCGACTTGTGGCTGAGTGTGCGTTATGCCTCGCCAAGGACGAGTTTGGCGAATCCTCGCATCTCGAAGGCGGCTTCTACACGCCGGCCAGCGCTTTTGGTCACAAGTTGGCAGACCGCTTGCAAAAGAAGAAACTGATTACTTTCGAGCTCAAGGACGCGGAATAAGTCACGGCAGGTGGTAGCAGAGTGCTTCGAGTATAGTTTACTGGAGTCGGACGTACAGTCGGGCATCTAAAGGCTGGCGAAACGGACTTCGTTGAAGGGACGCTCCCATGAACTCGTGAACCTTGCGCATCATTAAAATCGCACTTGTCCAGACTAACCCATGTCACGATGGCGATCCTGTCGCCCTTAAGGGTTTAGTATCATGGTGATGCCGTGAACATTTGCTTGTGCTCGTCGCAACGCAAGCTCGTAAGGTACAAATGCCACTACTTTATGCGTTTCGAAAGATTAGACCTTAACCATCACTCTGACCGCGTACTTCGATGCGATTAACCCCTTCTTCGAGGCACATCGACATGAGCCGTCCACTGAAACAGAGCTGTAGGTGCCATTTCGACTGCCCACAGGCTGGTACCATTCTTATACTCCTTTGTGCAAAAAGACGACTTTGTCACCATATACCCGCGGTCGTCCTCTCAATAATTAGAGAGCTTCCAATATAGAATGTGGCTGCTTACCTGCGGATGCGAGATAACGAGATTGATGCGTAGATGCTGTGTCCGAGACCACGGCGGAGCACAATTAAAAACACACAGCATCCAATCTGACCCCAAAAAGCCTGCTTGCTATCATCGGATGCTATCTCTGCTGTATTTTCCATCGATTATAGCAAGACAAACTTATGCAATATTAGTGCATCATTAAAAGATGTTATCGAGTGGCTAGAAGTTCTATTCAAACGACAAGGTCATGACGGTCAAGCCATATCTGCATTTTTTAATTTGTTATGAACTACCTCAAGTCCAATGTGATTGCATCTTCGGTTGAGCTGTGACGCAAGCATTAAAGCAGAATTGTGGCAGTTCACGTGTGCTGTCATCATAGTATCCGCATGAAGCTATCGTTTTTTTACTAGCCCACTTCAAGGAGAGGCTAGTTTTTCTTCCTGCTATAACATGATGCGAGTTATGACACTACAACTAGCAATAAAATTGAGAGGTCGTGCGATCAGATCGTGACGAAGAATAGCAGGAGGGTGAACCCGTCTAGGGTCAACATTGATCGTTTAAAACGAGCCATGTAGAGAACTGCAGATGCTGAATATGCTTTAGCTTCATTGAACGGAGGTGGTAAGATGCTAGGAATTGATTAGAATGAGCTCCAATGTGGTGACGAATAGAAGATACTGTTTCTGACCGGTCATGAAGGTATAATGTTCAAGTGCAAGACCTGTTCGAGGTAAGTTCCGACCTTACCTGATTGGCTAATAAGTGATAACTTTATAGATGAGACAAGGGGGTACGACCGTCATGCCGGAACACCAGTCGTGACACATGCGACAAGGAGATAAAAACGCCATGTGGAACCAGCATAGAATTTAGGCGGACTGGACGTACGCCCTGTGCAACTTGACCTGGTCAAGCTGCAGTCCAGGTTAAATGCATGTGGCAGTGTTCACAGACAAGATTATCCCTAACTTTTCGTTTGCTTTTAGTTCTACATCCATTTCCGCGAGTGCAATCGCTACATACTTTCTACAATGACAAATGTGCCGGGAATCAACCGAGGTTGAGGTTTGTGCATGCAGAGTCTGGAGGTAGTTCCCTTTTTTAGCTTGATGCGCGCCGTATGCCCTGCCTGTAACGGGGCAGCCCGTTACATGGAATTGTCACTTGAGAGATAATGACAATAAAGAATATTATGTTGAATATTCTTTGAACAATATCACCAAAGCGGTGATATTGATGGGTCGAACAAAGAGTCTGTTCATTGCTTGATATCTTGATGATATCAACCCACCAATCGCTGCAAGACGCGCGCAATGAGTGGTGACGAGACGTCACCATACACTCAGTTATATTAGGATAATTAAGTTAAGTCAAACAAAGAGACAGTAGTTAAAAGACTTAATTATATTAAAAAAACAGTTCTGCTTTTAACCTACCTACGCTTCCTCGCTTGCCTTGTGTACGTCTGTCGGGGCACCGATACCCTTGCGTTAAGTTCACGCAAGGGTGTGCCTCGTTACACCTGGTAGCACTTTGTAGTCCTTCCAAGGACCACAACATCCAACATGAACATGTCGGATGATGAAGAGACCTTTCACGCCACGCGTGAAGGGTTTACCCATTTGAGTGACATCGAATGGGGTGCGGTAGAACGAATGAGTTCTACCGTAGGCGAGTTCGCCATTAGCGCCATGTTGGAGTCTCTAGACAGAGACCAACAACATGCCGCTATAGCCAAGTTCATCCAAAATGATCTTGTCGCCGAAAGGGAGAAAGTAGCCTTGCTTCACCAGCAAGGCTCTCAACAGGCCGAGCAGTTGAGAGAACTCGGTGCTCAACAGACAGAGCTGTTGAGACAGCAGCAATTCCATGCTGCTGTGGGCGGGACGACATATTCGCGTCGTTCCGAAGTCATGAAGGTTGACATCTCCAAGTACAGTGGAGTCCCGGAGGACTCCCTGTTACTATGGTTTGTCGAACTCGACAGAGCCTTAAGGGCTCGTCGCGTCGAAGATGAGCAAATGAAACTCACATTTGCTCAGACCCACTTGGCAGGTCGTGCCAAGACTTGGTCCCTGGGGCTCGAGCGTAGCGACCCACATGTGTTTAGGTCTCTAGATGACTTCAAGTCCCGGCTCAGACAAACGTTTTAGCCGCCACGAGCTGAGTTCAGGGCTCGTCCTGAGCTCCTGAAACTCAAGCAGGGTAAGCGTGATGTGCACGCTTACGCACAACATATACGACTCCTTGCGAGTAGTATAACTGCCAACCCAGTTCATGAACACACGTTGATTACGGTGTTCATGCAAGGGCTCGCGAAAGGGCCCGTCAGATGCCACCTGTTCCGCCTTGAGCTGAATACGCTTGAAGAAGCGATATCAGCCGCGGAACAGGAAGACTTTAGCATGAGACAGGCTCATGCTAGCTCAAACTCTTACCGTCCACCGAGACGACAAGAGATCGGAGGTCCAGAACCAATGGACCTCTGCTATGTTGAGAGCGAGAGACCTCGCTCTTCAAACAACAAGCGATTGCAGAGGTGCAATCGCTGTCAGAAGCTAGGGCACTACGCATACGAGTGTAGTGCTCCACGCCCAGTACCAAACAGTACTGAGCGAAATGGACGACCATTTGCCAGAAAGGGCAATGGGCGTGGGTCCAGCGCTGTTGCGAAGCCGCAACAGCGAGACGGACCATCAAAAAATGGTCGGGGTCAGTAGGGGCGGAGCGCCCTACTGATCCAGCAACCTCAAGAGAATTTGCAAATCTCTTGACGAAAGTTGCTCCAGATACACAATCATTGTGTGTATCTGCACCTGGTGATGACGTTTCGCTCATCACCTTGAAGTTGGAAGCGACAAATGAGTTGTCGCTTCGTGCCCTAGTAGACTGTGGGGCGTCGAACAACTTTGTTCGTCGCCAGTCACTAGAGGGTCGTAAGTTCAAGTTCGTTGAGCGCGACATTCCCCTCACGAGGATGACGGTGCGCCTTGCAACAGGCGCATCGATTGCCATTAAGAAACGTGTAGTAGGAATCCACTACACGTTGGAGGGCGAACAGTACGATGATGACTTCATCGTACTAAATCTGGATGACAAATTTGATGTCATCCTGGGATTACCTTGGCTCAGAAGGTACGAGCCAAGGGTGAGCTGGCAGCATCGATCCGTGAAGATGCCTGCCACTTGTTCATCAGATGGCCATCTGATGAACATCTTGGAGCGTCCACAAGCGTGTGGATGTTCTGCGAGTGAGTGCGATGGCCTCACTTGCGTTACGGTCGTTCGCACGACCGCACAAGATCACAGTGTAGTTAATCACTACACTGTGGAGCAAGCTCCCGGCGACTGTACAGAAGTACAGGCGGCGCCGAAGGTCCACCACTCGAATAAATCGAGTGGACTGGGACGTGGATGTACGCCTAGCGGGCAGCATCTTAGACAAAAGAAACCTGTTGCCTTCAAAGGGCAACACGGACATCCTAGGTCGACTGGAGAGTCGACCATAGAGGATCGATCCCTGACTGTTGTTGCACAGCCACGGTCAGAAAACGTCGAGGGAATAAGTCCCCACGTGCTTGAGGAAGGAATTCCTCAAGAGTCACTTGCTGAAGGATTAGGCCCTCAGCAACCTGTGGAAGCAAGTTACCAGGAAGTAACCGAGACGTTAAACGTCTTGGTTAATGACGGATCCAGCGTAGGCGCTTATACGCTTGATCTGATTGTGCCTCCGAAGTTAACTTCGGAGATAACTCAGTTGCCAACGCTAGAACCGAAACGGTTCTTGCGTGATCTGCGTAGTGGCAAAGTCAAGCAGATCTGCATACTCGTCACAGAGGATGAGTATGTGGCCGATATTCGGTCGGCAACAGTAGTTGCTGAGAACGAACGGGTTCTCAGCAGCTCATCGATGGACGAAAGTGTCCTAGATGAGAAGACTCGGATTGAGCGATACGCGTCCCAATCCTGGGAGTCACTTCAGGCAAATCCTTTGTATAAGGATTTGACCGAATTTAAGGACGTATTCCCTAAATCCGTACCGTGCGAGTTGCCTAAGGACAAAGGCACTCGACACGAGATCGAGCTCAAACCGGGCTCGAAGTACTGTGTCATGAAGCAGTGGCCACTGCCTCGTGAACAAGTACTAGCGATCGACAAGTTCTTTGCCGATCGCTTAGCAGCGGGCCATGTGAGGGAATCAACATCCCCTCACAGCTCTCCGACATTCTGTGTGCGAAAAGCCACAGGAGGATGGCGGATAGTGCACGCATTCAACAAATTGAATGCTGTAACGGTACCGGCTCAGACGCCGATACCGAGGAAGGACGTCATCATAGATGGTATGTCAAAGAGTACCATCTTTTCGTCCATGGATCTGATGGATGTATTCTATCAGATCCTCATGCGTGAACGGGACATCCCGTACACGGCAGTGAGCACCCCCAGCGGGATGATGTGGAAGTGGCTAGTTATGCCACAGGGGCTGATCAA